CTAGCTGTTCTGATGCAAAATAAATCAGCTCAACGACAGAGAATCAAAAACATCGAATCAATGCGAGAAATATCAGAGACAATTATCCCAAATGAAAAAATCCAATTGACAGTGATTAAGTTAATAAATACAAGCTAGGTGGAAGTTTGAATAAAATATCTCCAAATTTGGTGCAAATAAAAGAGATGCGTACTATCCTTTTGTTCTCGCATAACTATTTTAGTATTTCTAAATTTGAGCTAAATAATAACATGGCAAAGGAATAGATTAGTCGTTAAAAATGATTTTACGCTTTGATCTCTTTGGGGCATTAAATAAACACTATTGCTTATGTGAATAACTTTGTGACAAAAAGAAATAAATTCTATAAAAATCTAACCGTAAAACGTTATTTCATAAAATGTCTTGTGCCATATTTTTTCTAGTCATTTTCTAATCCTTAATTATTAATTTTGGGAAAACAAGACTATTTGAAATCAATTGGAAACGCAGCTCTACTCATATCATTGTGGGGAAATTCAACTGCCAGTCCTTCATCGCCTTAAACGAAATAGAGTGAATACATCTCATATAATTCTTTTTTTGTTAAAAAAAGCATTGATGACGCTAAAAAAGAAATTTTAAAAAGAAATTATTAAAAATCAAAAAGCTTGGTTTACAAGAATTTGGGAACCAAAAAACTTGAGATATATTTGTTACAGACACAATACTAGGGACAATTCGTCAAGACCCCTTAATATCTCTAATTAGAAGATTACTCGAAACGTAGCTGCAGACTGATGCTAAGAGGCATAATGTGATAATATAAATCAGCTTTAAATTACATTAAAATATCGATAATTTAAAAACGCATATAATTAGCGTTAAGCGTACAGACAGTATAAAGTACTGGCAGATCAAACGTTTCAAACAGAAATAAAATGTTAGGATAATCCATAAAAATGTATTTATGGCTAAAACTGCTTTCCGGATAAAGCCAGATTTCTCAAAAAGAGATGAGATCTTCAATAAAAAGCACAAATTTGTATAAAATTACCGAGTTAAAATCAAATACACGTTTAACTAAATAAGCTCTCAGAAGAATTAATCAACCACAAGCATATATAGTTAAATGTATGGAGCTAATGAGCAATATAGGTCCTTAAAAGTTTTATCAAAAACAAGATCGGAAACAATGCAAAGCATAGTCATAAAAATGGTAAAATAACTAAAATTAAAAAAAAACTGGCTCCAATATGCATTAGGCCTAAATATTTGAAAATAATACGTGAAAATTACCAGTTAACAAGTAACGCAGGCTAACTAGGAAAATTTTGATTAGAAGACCTAAATCTTCCAAAGCTACCGATGCCTCTAGGTCGCCTTTCTCGAGAAGATTCTCATTCATGTTCTCAACCTCGGTTGTATCAGTGCATTCTGGATCATCAATGTCGATTTCAGCCACCCAATCGCCTTCCGGTTCTAGTGTGTCAGTAACTTCACAGAGGCCAGCAATCCCTTTAATCTGGCCTGCAGCATTTTTAAAGGTGTCTGTTATTTTGTGTGAACAAACATGAGGATGGAAGGCAGATAGACGATCGACGCGAAGGTGTCGACATTCTGGTCGACCATCAAGACATGCCAGAAGAAGTTGAAAGCCAAATTGTCGTCGGAAGCGAGTTGAATGGGCAAGTAGCCGAGACAAAAGACTAATGCGAATATCCATATCATCTGTATCACTAGCAATGCTGTGTGGTAGCACACCACGGAGCTCCAGTGCATCCACCAAATTTTGGATAAATCGAGACTTATTTGCAGAAGTGTTTAAGATAACTGGGTCGTTATCTGCAGTTACAGGTAAAGGGTCCAGCTGAATAACAGCCAGTGGTAAATAATTTATACAGATATCAACCCCGTGAATCAAGGCCATTTGGAGAAGCTGAAACAAATTTGAAGAAAAAATAAGAGCAGGATCTGGCTTCGTACGTTTTGTATTTTGAGGAAGAGTGAATAACATAAAAAAATGGAACAAGAATGTGAAAACTATATTTATCAAAATACTCAAAATTTAGGCAGGGGGCAGAAAAT